GCGGGCGCCACGTCGAAACGGCCGCTTTGAAATTGCTCGGGCCTGTGCGAAACCCGCCACCCCAAGAACCTGCAGTGTCTTCTGTCCGGACCTCTAGGCCCTGTCCAGTGGGGTGAAACGACACTGAAAAATCACCCCACTATTTTTTTAGGGGCGGCCAGGACCAGATAAACGTCCTGGGCCGCCCCCTTTTTTTTTTTTTTTTTGCCCCAGGGGGGGCTCCATCCGGACATAAGGACCGGACACCAGACTGTCTGGAGCCTGGTCCGGACGTCCGGACGGTTGCCATGGTATCTTCCCATGTTTTAGCGGAAGATTCTTTCTCATTTTGCACATTGGGTGAGTAGTGGAGCGAGGCCCAATGTGTGGACGGACCCAGTAGGCCCTGGAAAACTTCTGGAGCAGTACAGATAGTATTTGCTCGTGCATCAGAGCTGAGAAAATTATTTCCCGCTAGAATAGTGAGAGATACACCCGATATATTTTTGTCGTCGTCAACTTTGGCAAGTGGTGCGGCAAGTCCCATGGTCTCAATAGACTCTTCCATGTTAAAAGATGATGCTAATGACGTTTTCGAATTTGGTGACTGGTGTGGCGCGGCACTCTATATCAAGACACAAGCACAATGCACCCTAATCCTGAATGCACACAATCAACAAGTCTGGTGAGCTACAGTCATGTTGACGGTGTTCTGTCGCTTGGGGGAAGATGTGTGGAACTAGTCCCACACCTGGTCCTGAGACTGGTTCCAATGAATGACCATTGGGCCCATTGGTACCATTGGATTTAGGGGAGGGAGGAATGTCCATGCTCAGTCACTGCTGGTGCCTTATCTCCTCCCCTTGCTCTCCGTTTTCGCATACAACATCCTCCTCCTCCTCCTTGTTGCCACTGTATGATATCAACCGCATCTTCTCTGCGTCGCGATATGATCCCTCGTCAGACCGTTTGATATCAACAGCGTCTTCTCTGCGTCTCGATATGATGCCTCGCCAAACCACTCACCGCATTTGAAAATGTCATCAACATCATCTTTTAAACCGCCAGTACCTTTGCCAGCTATCGGCCGAGTTTCAGCAGCGCATCTGACCGCCGCCGGAGGCCGAGTGCCGCCTCCGTGTTAACCGCCACGCCTTGGCAAAATGCCTGGGAAAGGTACTGGTGGTTTAACATGGAAGAGTCTATGGAGACCATGGTCCTCCTCCTCCTCTTCCTCCTCCTCCTGATTGCCACCGTTTGATATCAAACGCATCTTCAGGTCCATGATGCAAACAGTCACCAGATCACTGTTTTTGTTTTCCTTTCTTTTCTTTTATGTCTATTGTGACAAGTGTCAAGGAACTGTAGACCCTTTTTCTAATCCATGGATCTTGATATAGATCTAGATCTAGATCAAGTTGCTGTCCGTTATTTCTGGCATTAAAATAATGATACCCCCATACTCATGGGGGCTCCATTTTGCCACCGTTAGTCTAAATTTGAGTTCCCCCTTGCTCCGATTTTTCCTTGGCAGCCTTTTTGCCGCATAGAGTCCCTCAAGGCTCTATTTTCTCTTGCTTGGTTGGTCTGCGATATCTCGGACTGCCATACAGGCCTTCCTCCCTCATTTCTTTTCTCTTTTGCTTCCGAAACCTCCTCCCCTTGGCCTGACTAGTGCTTGCACTAGTGGTGGTAATATTTTCCACCGCTAGATCTCGATCTAGACGGTGCTCCTTGTCTTTCAAAGAAAAGGGACGTGCTGTGTTCTGTTTTGCTCTACTAGCTAAGAACGAGAGGGCGCAAGGAGTGAGGGGTGAGGGGTAGGGGGAGAAACCTCCGAGAAAGGGGTTGCAACAAGAGGGGGATGGACGCATCAGGCCCAGGGAAAGGGAATTTCAAAGTCCCAAGTGCAAACGGGACCATTCTGTTTGCCTTTGATGGGCACATCCTCTTCCTACGTGGACCTGATCACCTCCATCCACAGCTCAAAATGAAGGGGTTGTTGGGGGGTAAGGG